CCCCCCCCCCCCCTTTTTTTTTTATTTTTTTAGATACCCAGCAACTGCACATCCAGAGGATCCATATATACTACATCGGCCAATACCCAGACCCTGGCTACCAAGTATTCGACACTAATGGTGTCTTTTCATATTGGTCCCAATTGCCTCTTGTCAGATTCTCGCCAACCGAACTAAACCAATTCAAACCAAACCGATAACGCCAAAGACTGCGACTGCTCAACCCTTTTACCATTGCAGAAGCCATTACAGAGGTACATATGCATCGTACCACGATTCGCCAAGGTCCAATCCAGGACTAAAGGGTATACATCATAATACGTGGGTATCCAACAAGATAATAAAAGAAGGAAGGGGTTCGGCGAAATTGTGGCCCAATTCAGCACACCAAGGGTCGACTGATCCAGCGTCGTATATATCAGCGATATAACCCAAATATGATCCGTCATCATTCTCTTTAGCGTCGTTCATCTCGTTCGTTTTTGGCGACAAGCTCGCCTGCTCTCAGCAAGACACTCATGCCATCCAAATTGGCTTTCAGGGACCGGTCTTCAGCTGGTGCAACAAGATCGGGTGCTGGAGTCATCGGGACATCGCTATCCGTCATGTACTCTTCGTTTCTGGTCAGTGAGCCAGTAGGTGGCAGAGGTTGAGAGCCTTGAAAGCCGAGTTAGCTTGAGCTTCCCGCAGAAGTCTGCAGTGTGTGGATCAAGTACCGTATCCTCTAGGCACTACGCCATGATTGAAAGGCGGCCTTGTAAGTGGCATAGGGTCTGTCGGGCTAGGAGTGGTTGTTCCAAAACCAGATGCAGGAGATCCCCGTTCAAACATGGACCCGTTGGCAGCAGCAATTGGAGTCGGCAGCGTCTGGTGATGTGAGAGCAGGGCGTGAATCGGCAACGGACCTTCACCGGGCGTTCGTGCAAAACTTGCAGCAGGGCTGATCGAACCAACGCTGCTGGTTGAAGATGGCTCGTGTCGAAGAAGTGGTACTTTGGGCGGAGCTGATGGAAGAACGTTTGGTATCTCGGGTACTGATCTTGGATGGTTGGCAGCGACAAAACCACTCGAATACGGATTCCCTTCAGAGCCCGACGATACGGGCATGCCTTTCCTCCCATCCTCGAGCATGTTGGATAACGAAGGTAGATGTTGCTGCTGGGACACATCGGCCCCACGGATACCTTCTCGCCATACCTGCTGGCGTGTGGAAGGTTGATGGCCAAGGTCTCGTGGACTACCAGCATCGAAATTAGTGCCCCGCGGCGATGACATGGTATCGTCGTTTGAGTTGGCTTGCGACAGGAGTGTTGGCGTTGTCGATGAATGCTGCGACTCGGCTACCGATGCGATCGAATTCAATCTTTCCCGGCGGCAAGGTGGTGGCTCGCTTCCTTGTAACCTCTCGCTACCGCTTCCACTTGATGTGTTGCCAGGCGTCATGGTGCTGCTACTGCTACTGCTGTGTCGTAATCGAACGGGGTCCAATTTGGTCCTTTTGGAAGAATCGGCTATTCAACGTCGACATGTCAGTTTCTACTGCGTCAACAAGCAGACCTGTGCCAGGTAGTTACGAACCTTGAGTTCGTTTGGCTTGCTTCTCCTTGAACTCATGCAGGTATTGCATATATTTCCGATAGTCGGCCGTCTTCTTATACTCCATCAAGTCTCGATGGTATTTCTCCTTATCTGCATTTGCTTGGCTCTCATACGCCTCCTTCTCATTGGCGTTCAGATTTTGCCAGTTTTCTCCTACGAGCTTGGCAATCTCCGTGAAAGTCAGGTTTTGGCTTCTCAAGTCTTCCCTCATTTCTTTGCATGAATCGTCAGTCTTTCTGTGCTAACCGTGGGTTTTACGAAACAGGACAAAGCTCACTATTGGAAAACAAGACATAAGCTGAAGGGGGTCTCTCGGGAGCGTTTTCATCGGGCTGACGTCTTGTTAGTGGTGGCCAACACTGTTGATGGCTGTATTGCTTCTCACCTTGGGGTGACGTCGATATTTTCGTTTCGCGACACCTTGTCCTTCCGGGGGTGTCTCTGTCCGAACAGGTTCGGATGGAATGCCTTCTGACTTTGCGTCTTCACTTGTTGGTCTAGCGGGAGTTACCAAGGACGCTGATGGAGAGATGCCCCGCGCATTGGCTATTCTTCTTTGAAGTTTCTAGATGATCACGTTAGTCCATGCCCAAGTGGGTAGTGACGTTCATCGTACCCTCCGGTGGCCAAGTTTTACACCCAGCGCATCTCTTTTCATACAGTCAGCGTGGGTTCCATGATAAAAACAAGGGACACATACAGATCCGATTCTTGTATGTCAAGAATAATATCCCATTTGTCAAATCCTTGTTCAATGAAGGACCCGAGATATTGGGATAGCCCCAACTCGGCAAAGATCGTTTCAAGATCGGAAGACATGTAGCACGGCTGGAAAGTTCCAGGGAACCTTCCTTCAAAGGCGAAAAGTTTTGCTTTAATTGGTGCCAGGGTGACGACTCAACCTGATCCAGGTCCAGATGGACTGGTGGTTTGCAAGATGCGATCTAAGACGGACGGCAGTTTTGAGCGACTAGATATCCAATCCGACGATATCAAATTAATCACACAAGTGTGTTGAGCTGGTTGGCTACGCTCCTGTTGGTTGTCTCGTCGGCAGTCTGATAGGTACAGTCGAGAATAGGTGGATTCTGAAACGCGGGGTTAGGCACTGAGTAATGGAGAACTGAACGCTGTTCATGGTTGAGCGGTCCTGGAAGATGCTTTCAAGGAAATGATGCTTGCAAGACTTGATGGGTGGTTAAATACCGTGGTGCCCCACGCCGAGAGTGAAGGCTATACCCAGGGCTTATGGCACCAAGAAGTACTGAACGATGACGGGGGTGAGGCTGAAGAAGACGATAGGCATGGGGCGAGGCACAAGTATAAACTTGGCACCGAGAGACAGAAGATGCATCGATTCGCGTGCGTGGGTATAGTCTCTAGCGACAAGGGGAAAGGGTTGAGAGAACGATGGAAGGAAGAATGTGCACAAACAGGAGATGAAGTCGGGAGGGGTGGGTAAGGCTGCTGCAGTTGCACTGACAGGCTTCAAAGCAGGAAGATATGGATGGGACAAATGAGGAAGGATGCTATTCTGACAAAGGTTTTCCAATTGACATACCACAGTGACGGACAGACGAACGAATTTTTCGAGGCGGATGATCGAGAACGAGAGTAGAAAGAGAAATCAGAAAACGATCAAGTGGGAAGGATGGATGAGTCGAGGTTGTAAGGGAGTCGAGTGCAGGTACGAGCCTCCCAAAGACAAGACACGGAATCGGATATCTCGATTGCACAGAACGAGTCCTGGACCGTGGTGGGTTATGGGTTAGGGAGGAAGGTGCTCTGTCCAACGGCGATGGGGGTAGGATGGGAGTCCACGGTCTGTAAGCGGCGCAAGTCCTCGTCTGGGAACGATGTCGAGGATAGTGACGAGAGGGTGGATTAGCAGGTGATCTCGGGATGGAAACTTATGAGACGACTGTGAGGTGACAGATCCAAGAAGACAGAACAGACCCCGGGTTAGGTTTGGCTGCGAGTCGGTTGAGGATCAAATGTTCTGGACCTGAGCTCTTGTTGGCGTGTGCGCGCGGCCCTGAGCCGAACTAGATAGACAAGGCAGGAAGTACGCTTATAAGAACCAGATTGTAGAGAAATGGATTCTGTTGTCCATGTACGGGGGCGTGTCAGTTGTCGGAAACAAGACAAGCCAGGTTGAGGAATTGCTCTGTGGAGAGAGACTATCAGAGCCAGAGCCAATGTTGAGATGGGGGATCAATCTCAGGGCATCGTAGAATCCAAATGCTTGCTGTATGTAAATGGAGGGCAGGAACAGGGTCCAGGGGGAAACGGGGCAGAGTCGGAGGTGCCGCAGCCACCGGCAAAGAATAAAGACTACTAATTGAGTGGGAATAGGTAAATCAGGGTTTCGGAAGCGAGGATAGAATCGCAAGAGTTGAGAAAGAGCAGAAACATCAGATTCCTACATGGCACTACGTTTGGGGGGTGGTCTTGCTGTTCAGAGGCTCGCCAGGAACTAGGAGGGCATAAGTCTAGCCCAGTCAGTTCGCAGCGCAGCGCAGAACAACGGAATGGGGGCGTGGAGAAGCGAGTAGGGGTAGGGGTATGCCTACAATCTTCCGTCAAGGATGCACGCACAGTCTTGGCATTTGTCTCTGAAATCTGGACTGCCATCCGACTGTACATATTGATTGATCCGCAGTCTTTTACATGCTCGTTCCCGCGCTTGGACGCATCAAGTTTTGACATTCGGGGAGGATGATGAATGATGCAAGGGCCAGTTCTCAACATGATCCATTATGAAGCCTCGAGTTATTATGGACAATTGGCACGCCCATTGCTGAGCAACGTATGTGAAGCAATGCAGTTCAACTTGAGATGGGTCGAAAACAAGAAGCGTGGGCCCCAAGGCCCTGTCATCGGCTACGTATACGATAGGGCGGCACCTGGACAACATCGAGATGCCCCATCTTGGTCCAATGGACGCATTCAAAAACCATATTGAGGTCGCTTCAACGCAACGCAACGCAACGCAACACTACTGGTGCCCGTGACTGGGGGATTGTTCAGCAGAGTCATCCCCGGATGGAAGGAAGTGCAAATATGAATAAGTGAATGGTTAAACACGGTTGAGGCTGCTGGGTCGAGTCAGACCAGCCGGTACAGTACTGTAATAAAAATAAAAAAAGACCAGTTATCAAAATCATGGGAAAGTCGGGGGTGGTACGGTACACTGATGCGAATGTTGATGTTTGTCCAAATGTCGTACAGAGAGTGTAGCCCCCCGTCATGGTGTTCCAAGGACGTGGGCAGGAGTGTTATGGGCCTTGGCGTATCCGCATCCTCTATTCAGAAAGAGGCATTTCAGCATGGCGATCAGCTATCAATTGATTGACTGATTTGACCCGAGACGGCAAGATCGCAGAAGCTGGTAGGCTGGTTAGAGGCGTCACCGTCCACAACCATCCAGTGTGCCTGCCAACGCTCAAAGCACCACTGTAGTGTAGTGTACTGTAGACTGTAGACTGTAGTGCAGGAGCTCAAACTGTAACGGGTAAGATCTCGATCCCAATTTGTGAAACGGTTGTGGTCCTGCCGTTGTTGACTGTACTGTACTGAACGGGATGTTTAAATGATGGGGTGAGATTGAGAATGTCATGTCACGCACGTACAATACGCACGCACGCTCTCTGATGTCGTCTCCTCATCCTGTTTTTGCGGCTGGCTCAGAGAGGCTCGAAACTCGCCGGGACGGTGCGTACTGGTCTACTAAAGAAGCGTGACAGACGGATGGTCAGGGTTGAAGGTGAGCTTGTTCTCCAAACGGCATCGCTCGTCGGTAGCCAGGTGGTTGTGGGCTAACTAAAATGGACTTCTGCTTGAGTTCTGGTGGTCGGAGCAATTGCGAGCTGGGGAGGTGTGGGGCCGGTATAAGTGACGCACGCCCTGTTCCGCGCGTGGGTTGTTCCTGATCGCCATCGAGCCATGCCCGTTGTTGAAATCGAGCTTTGGCTTACTGATCGTGAGATGCCAAAACTCAAGCTTCACCATGATCGAGAAGGTCTTTGATCGAATCGCCCATAGTGCCGCGCCAACAAACGATCTACCTGTTTGGATTTTGGTAATCCCCCAGGTTCCCTCTCCATGGGCCACATGGTACGGCCACCGACGTCTTTGCCAGAAGTCCGTTCGTGCAGCAATGAGGTTTATTCGTCATATTGCGCCGATAGTTGATGCTTCAGATCGAATGACGCATTTTATAAGCGGTTCCAAGGCATCATGTTTTATCCCTCCCTCCTTCCACGACGGGGCAGTGTGAAAGCGCACAATCGACATCTGATCCTTCGATCCCCTTTGATCCATTTTCTCTGCTTCTCTGATCAAAGTTCCCTGCAGATTGTCTCTTTATACAAGCGATTTGAGCCTGATACAATAACTGGGGATGGTTGATTGTAAGTACCAACTTGGGCTTGGTATAGTATAGTTGCACTAGAGTATCATCGATATGTAGATGTGCGGTAGATCATAGCATCGATGGCTGAGATGTGCAAGATGGCATTGTCCATCAACCCATCCGCACGAACAGCGTGAAACCAGAAACCATAAAATGTGCAGTATCGGTAATTGTGAATCGGGAGCTGGTGCAGGAATCGCCCATGGAGTGACATGGGAATTCGACTGACGGTCTAGAATCTCGATCCCTCCCAGCCCTAGGATTGGTTGTAGCCCGATAAGCAGCCGCGGATTAAACGAGCGACTCCCTACTCAATGCGACGCCTCCCCTATGCATTGTCGCTTTCGATCCCAGAGTGCTTATTCTGCTTGTGTATCCTTGGCTCGATCTTGGCCTTGGCTGCTCCTACAGTAGAACTCGGACTTCCAGATTGCCGCCGGTCGACTATGATAGTGCCATTCTGCGATTGAACTCCATATCTCTAGACTGTCGAATAGCAGCGGGAGTAGTGACACGGAGTAAAATTCCGAGGCCTGTAGACCAATAGCGGTTGCCGACTAACTGGCCCACCGCTTCTAGGACCTTAAACGAGACATGATACCGTATTAGAGTAAAACGGTAGCCTTGGTAGGCGACTCGCAGTCGAGGCTGAGAACTTTGCAGGCTGTAATATCCGGCTGGGAATGGCGGCAGCATCTACAGTACCCATGGATTTTCATGGCAGTCAGCAAACGTCCGAAAGCTTTCGGGTATCGTAGGTCCCAGCTTGAATGAAGGCCAGAGTCCGTCTCACCGGAATCCTGGGCCAAAGTCCCGTGAAGTGCGCAATGTTCCCCACGGCATTGTCTAGAACATTGATGAGAAGTCGAGGCCTCACGATAGATTGAGCAGGAAGCCAGCTCAGGGCGTACAGTCACAAGTCCCTTGATTGGTCGGCGAACTGGTTGGCTCGTGCCTGCCCTGTAAGTAGGCTGTAGTGCGCTTAGAGTGCATGGATCCATAGAAAGGGGCTGCCTTCCTGCTACATAGGTAGGTATGGACTATGGAGGGTACCTACCTGCCTAGGCAGTGAGCTTCAGTATGTACCAGGCTATTATTCCCGGGTCTTAGGCGTTCGTTGTTCCTGCCTCTTGTGCAGGTAGCTAGGTAAGTAGGTAGTATCCAATGGATCAAACTAACACATTCGGTTTCAACACCCATACATTGTCAACATCGTTGTCCTATTGGCCGAGAGTATATGCTGCTGGAGTAATCTCAGTCGGTTCTTTTACTGTGTTCTTCTCCTAGGTTTTCTCCTCTTCTTTTTCTTATTACCTAGGTAGGTAGGCAGCATGAACTATAGATACATATGAATGATTTGAATGTTAGTAGTGTTCGATTTCAACATTCACATCCACATACTAGGTACGGTACACTGGACAGTTGAACCAGTTCAGTACTGGCCTGTTGATCACGGCGGACAGAGAGAGCCACATGTACGTAGTGAAGAAAGAAAGAGGGTAATGATCAGCAACTAATCTGCCTAGAGAAGTCAAGCAAGGAACCTAGAGACTAGCTAATCTGCCATTAACGTAAAATCGTGCGTGCATCGAGAGAAAGTCTCCGTAGCTTATTTTGTATTGACCGGGGCATATACGCCGTCATCCGACGTCTATTGCATCTACTGTACAGTAGGTACATACACCAGCAGCGACAGTCACGGCAGAGACCGGACATGCGCCAGCTACTTAGGTACCTTAGTTCTTTACGAAAATCCGTACAGCGCGGGATGCTAGGACCATGAGCCAGCAAGAAGTCTAGAACCACCAGGAATGGGGAATAGACATGGATGTAATCGAGACCGGGGACAGTACTCCACCAGTTTGTGTCACTATAAGTGTCACTGTAATAACAATCGTCGGAGAGTTCTAGAGACACTGGTTATTTGTTAGCGGACAAGTTAGTGGATAAAGATAGTACATACTGACATAGATGGATTGCATGTAAGCACGGCTATGCTCTCACATTGCTCTTTGCGAAGTACATTCCCCTTCTGGAAATTGGGGTGGGAACACAGCTGCACCTTGAGATCTGGCATGTTGGTTTACCATCGCTTTTACGGATACTGCACTGCACATTGAGGCTTGCGGAGAGGAAAGGCCATGCCGTCCATGGATATGATGCATACATAGCCCATGTTGTTTGTTTCAGCCCTGATCGACATCGATGTCAGATGGGAGAGCGACCTGCCTGCATGGGGAGGTGGCATGTTTATCTTATTTTTATTGTTATTTTTATTCCTATCATTCTTGTTCTTGTTCTTGTTCTTATATCCTGATATACAATGCACCAGCAGCCAGTCAGTCAGCAATGGGCGATTCCGATCCTATCTGGATATGTACTGTACTGTACTGTACTGTACTGTAGTTATTCCCTCCTCGATAGAGCAAAGAGTTATGCCAACCAAGACTAGGATTGATTCTCTCCCTTGTTCGATCATGATTGCAACTGTTGTTGTTCTGAGTATTGTCTCACCAAAGACCCGCAACGTTCGAGATCAGGATCTGATCGCCATCCGTGGTGGTCCAGACCCGTAGCGCATTCGCCTAGACCGATCGATTTAGATACTTGTAGGTCTATACGTTTTCACATATAACGGAAGTCTCGTATCCAGTGTTACTTTTATGGTCTTGGTTAGGTAGGTAGTAGGTAGATACTGTACTCAAATACCTAGCCCTGGCATTTGTTGTCGACTTTTGTTACCAGGCAATATCTTCCTCGAACTAATTATCTTGAGCGCAACGTTGAAGAGGGCTAACGGATACGAACAGCTCGCTGGTTCCATTCAGACGTGTCCTCTTTCGCGGACGGCTACACATACAGTACTGTACTGGTCTTATTGAAAAGGGCAGTTCTGTAAACGAGAATGAGCTAAATATCCATGGATATATTGGCAGAATCAGGAAGGGGATATAACCTTTCGCTGTAGAATGTTGATGACGGTAGCAAATCCCAGCATCCACAGGAGTAACTCAAACGCGATACAACATGATTCGACTGTATTGAACTCGCATAAGAAAGGGACTAATCAAGTTTGGGTGACATTGAGGTTCAAAACACCATTATTACCGTAGAGTAGGTACTGTACTATTGAAGGTATTTCATTGCAGTTGTTTCCCGGGCATGATCGACATCTATATCCGAGCTCTGACAGGCCACCCGGCCACCCCTCTTAGTGGACGGCCCGCTGTCGCGCCCGCCAAAATTACTGGGATCTAGACCCAGATTTAGCAGGCCGCCATGGAACGGACTATAGGTATGTATGTAGTACTTACCAACTTGAACACTTTTGTCTAAGTCGTTTATTCATAGCAAGGAGCGAAGAAGCATTCTGGAATATAGTAATGAATCAAGCATGAGGTCTGCAGTACAGTCTTTGATTTTATTGGGCGTCTTCTAGGGCTCCATAGACCAATCAGATGGATTAGATCCAATGGATGTCATGGATGTTGTACTGTACAGGACGGGAACCGTTAACTGTTAGGGACCTGCACTGCACACTGCACACGCGAATAAATCCCCACTAAGGAAAGAGGACCTAAACCTAACCCGCTCTTCGGGGCAGTCCTCTCATCTCCAGTCCAGCTCCATTTTCTCCTACAACAAACCGCTCAACAGCTGGAGAGCAAAAGACGACCAGACCAGTCTTCCACCGCATTTGTATCACCACACTTGTTATCTACCTATTTACTCATCGTCGATACGTTTTTTTACGTAAATAACTTCAAAGGGAAAGACTCACTTTACTGTACAAAATGGCACCAACCGATGAGACAAGCAAAAGCAACACAGCCTCCAAGGCTGCGGGTTCGGGGGATGCCGATTTGGCCCAAGTAAGTACAGTACAGTAACTTACTGTAATCTCATTTTCTTCTATTGCATGTCATGTCACGTCTGATTCTCGGCATTCCCATTGGAGTGTTTGCCACTTGGGGCATGGCAATGCACGAATTTGCCCTCCTGCGAAACATGGAATAGCAACAAAACACCATGTTGCAGATCCGGAGAGAATTGTCCTTGCTTGATCCCCATTTCTATTCATTTCATTTCATTTCGATCTGCTCAACCGCTCTTTACTCTGGCAATCGATCATCAACATGTCACTCCTTTCCTATTTCATCCATCCATCTGTTGAGTTCATCCCTAATCCCCTCCTATTTTCCCAATTATTCCCAATTCCTATGTACTGTACTGTACGGATACTCAGTTCCCCCTCTCTCCCTTCCCTTCACCCCTGGTTAACCCATTCCCTGTCTATTCCCACTCTCAAGGTCCAGACTCTCGCCCCCGGCCTGACCGTGGAACGTGTTATACCCAGACCCAGACTCAGACCCAGCCAGTTGGTCGAGACCGCCTCGCTTGGCTGCCACGAACCAAATTCTCCTGCCTGTCTGCTTGTCTGATTGACTGATTTGCATATTGCATTCGCATCTGCATCTTGACTACTGTATAGTACAGTACAGTACTGCCTTTTGTCTTGGCCAAATAAACGCCCTACCCGACCAACCACACCCACTGTACCCTTTATCCTCACAAACAATTAGATAGTACAGTACCGTATTGTGTTGCATTTCCTGACGATATTCATGTTCTAGGCCTACCGGGACCTTGCTAGGTAAACCACCCTACTCTACTCTGCTCAGCTCTACTCTACAGCCTCACCTCACTTTGTCTCGCCTCTCTCGCCTCGCCTCGCCTCAACACACCCTCCCCTCGCATTTTCCCCATCGCGATCCACCTTCACCACGAATTTCCTATTCCTCGTCTCCTTATTTTCGTATCATTGCCATGGAATTCTTCGTTGGCGCACTTTACCATCAGCGTAGCGCTTGTCGTGGGCCCTAGTTGCCAATACTCCATAAACTTCCTCTCTATTGTCGAGACTAAATTGACAAATTCCTCTATCGGCGTCTCCGACGCTTCACTGTCACACAAATTCGGATTAGACATATGCATCATTCAATTACGCATTCATTGCTCTTGCTTCGAAAGCCTAATCCATGCTATCAGAATCGTTGATGCCACTAGCTTGTCAACTTAATACCCTCTATTCCCAACATTGCAATCAGTCGGTGGCCCAGACAAGGTTATTGACCTTACACTGATGCCCAAGCCTCTTGACTCATGCGCTATCGACCAGAGATTCAAGTGGTTCAGGTTCCTGGCTTGTTGCAGGCGGCGATAGATACACTCTCCATATGAACAGCGACCTATCTCGATAGCTTCATGACTTGACAAACATAACGCCCTCGTTCCTGCACCCCCTCCCATTGCCTTCAGCGTCATATGAACCACATGTCTCCCATTTCTGTCTTTTGCATCGTACTATGGACGATCCGCAGAGATCCTTGGCTGACATGGCATTGACATAGGGGTGAGCAAGCTGCTACCAACCTCGAGAACAACCTTTCAAACCTCGAAAGTAGACTCGACGCCATTCTCGCTGCCCTCGAAGCCAACAGCAATTTACAGGCTTCTCCGGCTGCCAACGCAGCCCAAGCTGATGAGTCTCGAAAGGCGGGAACAACAGACAGCAAAGAAAAGCCCCAGGACGGCGCCAACGGAGACGCAGTGGAGGACAAGAAAGACACGGCTTAACTGACTGGGCAAGGTCAGAGGTTACTTCAGTTCACACCACGTCACATAGTAGCTTAGGGAGTCGAAAGAGCAGTATGCCAGCCAATCATGGGTCTCTTCTTTTCCAAAGAATATCTTTCACTTATATTATCTCAACGACCAAAGGAGATCCCTCTTTGCCGTTGGGATATACATTTCTATCCTCAGTGTTCCATCTCATGATCCCACGTACTCTCCGAGCTCAGAGGCTCATACTCCTCCCCAGATCCAAGGGCCGAAAAAAAAAAAAGAACTAA